TCTATGGTATTGTATTCTAGCAGCAGAAATGGACTAAGACACTGCTCACCAGGGCAATACCCACTGAGCCAGGCTTCCGGGTGGGCGGAAAGGTCCCAGGCCAGAAACTGGGAAAGGAGAGGGGGCACTCCAACTGAGAGGATGTCTGGTCTCACCCAGGCTTCCCCTCCATTTACACGTCAGGAAACTAAGGCCCAGAGAAGATCAGAGACTTGCCCAAGGACACAGCAAACTGGGGTCAGAGCCATTCAGAACTCAGTTGCCTGTTTCCAATTCTCTACATAGATGGGGCTGGGCCAATGTTTTCCCCCCTCTGAGGAAAGTAACTGCAAATTGAGACACAGCAAAACCTCAAACTCTTTCTGAGGTTTATTATAATAATTGACTTTATTTTTGTCTCCAAAGAGACCATAGAATGTAACAGCTTGGATGGGGGAGACAGATGGCCTGGGTTTAGATTCCAGCCTGCCATTAATAGCTGCGTGACTTTAGACAAGTGACTTAACCTCTCTGTGCTCCAGTGTCCTCATCTGTAAAATGGAAGTGCTATAGTACCTCCCTCGTAGATTGCGTTATGGAGGGTGAGTTCATCACATGAAGTGTTTGGAACTGCGCCTGTTGGGTAAGGATGTGTGATGTGTGTCTGTGTGTGTGCGGCAGGAAGTGTGAGCTCGTGTGTCAGTGTGCATGAACATGAAGCTCTGAGGTACACGTGGTTTGTGTATGAGTGTGATGGGTGCACACATGAGTGTGTTGATGTGCAAGTGCAGGCATGCATCCAAGTATACGTGACTGTGCATGTGTGTGAGCACAGTGGGTCTATATCCGACAGGGTGAAGTAGTGAATATGTGTGTGGACAGTGTATGAGTGCACAGGGCATGGGGTAGGTGGAGTATTTGACCAGGTACGTTTGAGCATTGACATTGGAAGGGTATGCAGGGTGGGGGTGGGCCAGGAGCATGCATGAGCATGTGTGTGTGTGTGTGTGTGTGTGTGTGTGTGTGTGTGTGTGAAGGTGTGTGTATGTGTGTGTGTGTGAAGTTGGCTCGTGTCCACATCAGGGGACCAAGAAGCCTCCCCAAATAGAGTTCCAGTCTAGAAGACTGTATTTTTAGCTGCTGAGGCTGGTTATTCCAAAAATGAGCCCACCCCCTCACCTCCTCCCAGCCGGGAAGCTGCAGCCAAAGGTCCGGAGATCAGGAGATCAGTGACCTGTGTTGAGCCACCAAGAATGTGGTCCACAGACAGGGAGGAGGCAGAGGGAGAGCAGACACTGGGAGCTTTTGGCTTCAGGCTCTGGAGAATGAGGGCTGCATTCGGGCAGGGGAGCTGGCTGGGTGGGCAGCACAGAACCACATGCCGTGGGGTGGCAAGAGGAAGTCCTGCATGAGTGCTGTGTCAGCCTGGCCTTGACGGCTGGGGAGAAGCCTGGCCCTGCAAGCCACTGACCTGTAGGCTGACAGGAGATACAGGGGCTCCCGCTGACCCTCCCTGAGCCCCTCCAAATCCAAATGCCACATGCAGTCATTGCTGTCTAGGACAGGAACTTTGGACACCGAATGGTTGGCCAATGGCCACGTGACTGAGGTTCCCACCTCGGGCAAACAAATAAATGGTGTGGCGAGCTGGCCCAGCAGGCCTTGGAACTCCAGGGTCTATTTTTCTGTGAGTCTGTGAAAGTTCTTGACCCAAAGCTCAAGCTCCGCACCGGAAACTCAGGAACTCCCTTCCTCCCAGCCTACCCCGTGGACTCCACTGTCACTCAGTTTGCCTCTCAGTCCCCAACAGCACCTCAGACCTGGGTCAGTGTGGCCCTTCTGTCCCTTTGAGTGTCTGGGAAGGACAGAGGCTAGTCAGGGGCACCATGAGGCACCTGTGTGGTATCCTCACCCTCACTGGAAAGCAAGGAATTAGGCAGAGTGGAATTTCTTCTTCTCCTTTCCAGATGCGCCAGGGTTCACCTGGGAAGTCATCCTCCTGTGAGGGTCTCACCTGCCATGCTTGAGAACTTAGCAGGCCTCAGACTCTTTGACCTTTGGGAGGGCTCTCTCCGATCAGAGCAAAAATATTAAAGCACCTGTTATCTGTAGCCCAGGTGCCACTGACATTTTTTACCATGAATATTTTTGCAAGGGTTTGTATAATGTTGCATTTTGATAAGAATAAATTATTCCTTATGATGATGTCTAAATACTACGCTGTCATTATTTTCTCTGTTGGTCACTGCTTCCTCTCCAGAACCTAGCACTGTGCTTGGCACTTAGTAGGTGCTCAGTAAACATTTGTTAAATCACTGGCACCGATGTGACTCAAATTTGACCTTACAGATGATAATGCAAGCTGAGTTTACCAGCCAGTAGCATATGAGGGGTAGTAGACTTTGAACCAAGCAGATATTACTTTTGATTTTGATGTTCTCTTTTGGGATGTGGAAACCCTCATCTTTCCATTAGGTTTCAAAAGTGTTCTCATAGACTCATAGACTTGTGGAACCTGAAGGACTGAATGCACTAGGCTCTCTGGAGTGGAGGTTCCCTTTAGAGTCCCAGATACCATCAGGGGCCTTCTGATTGCAAAGGGGCTGAGGCCTGGCCTTTATCCGGGAGCACAAGGCTGTCAGCCAGGAGCAGATATGACTTTTCTCCTACCTCACCTCTGCCTGTTCTGTCTGAACCATGTCTCAGTGCCGGGGTGTCAGGGTGTGCCCTCTTTTGGGTGCCAGGGCTTGGGGAGCCTCTACCTCCCCTTGTAGCCTTGATTTCCTAATAGGCCCCTGGCCTCCCCACTTGCCTACAGCCCCGCCCCTCTAGTCTATTGTCCACGCAGCAGCCAGAGTGACCAGAGCTGGCTTCGTGGGTGTGCACCAGTGCAGTCACTCAAGGCTAGAGCTCAGGAGGGCCCTGTGCTCGGGCATCAGTGCTCTGTGGGCGCCATCTTGAAACTTGATAATTTTAGCTTTGAATGTGTGTTCTGTGAGTGAAGTCTGACGGGAAAGTGGAGCATGCTTCGGGAGCTTGGAGCCTCGGTTGGCGTGTTGCCACCTCCCACTGCCTCCCCAGCACGGGTTCTTGGCTGCTCGCTCCTGGCACCCCCACTTCTGCCCCACTGTGGCTGCTCCCCTCCATCTGGAGGCCTGAATATGGGCTCAAGGAGAACTGGGGACTGCCGGGCTGGCCCCCAGCATCTTGGAGTGTGACAAGGTGGTGGCTGTCCCCTCCCCGGGGAAAGAGACCTCTTGTCCACCCCAAATCCAGTACTGAGCATGCCTCAGCATGACTGTGGCAGTCTCTTGGGGCCTCCCATCGGCCATGGGTGGGGACGGTAGGCCCGTGGAGGAGGAAGGGCCTTTCCTGCCCCTGGTGTAGGCTTTGTGGTTTCATTTTGCACCAAGCCTGCAAAGTACACAGCCGGTCCTAAGAGTGAGGTTTCTTCAGGACTCATCTGCCCTGCCGGAGCCTCTGGGGACACTGACTGATGGAGTCCACATCCCTTTCTTTGGCTCCCGAGGTCCTGCTTGGCCACTGGGCCCAGTGCCCCCATCTTGGCATCATGCAGTCCTGCCATTCCCTCCAAGCCAGCTGGAGCTCCTTCCTCCCAAGACTGGGTCATGTGCCCTTTCGCCTCTGAGCCCTGCATGGGCAGTTTGCTCCACTGGGACAACCTTTCCCTGCCACCCCTTGCCCATAGGGATAGCCTTCTACTCTGCTCGCCCTCCCCCCACCTGGGTCCTCGCCTCTATCCCAGCGGTGCCTTTTCATGGTCTGGTTGGAATCTTGGGGAAGATGGGGCTTTGTCTCTCTTGTTTCCAGCTGTACCCCAGTGTGGGACCCAGTACCTGGTGCTCAGTAAGTGTCGTTCAGTGAAGACCGGTGGTCCCATCTACTTCCCCTCATTGTCGCCTGGTGACGAGCAAATGGAGGCTCAGAGAGGGCAGTGACTCACCAACATCCACCCTGGGACAAAGGCAAGCTTAGAGCTTGAAGCTGAGTCCGATGCCTGTGTCTGTCTCCTGCAAGGGTGAAGGGCTGGAGGACATGAGAAAACCCTGTGTCTCCTCCCCTAAGTGGGAGACTCAACACATGGGGGCTTGTCACACTTGGGGTGGGAGGAGGCAGGTGTCCCAGCCATGAGCCACCTGAGGTCCATGTCACGTCGAGTCAGGAGGGGTGAGTCAAGTAGGCTCCAGGAGAGGTCGTGGCACCTGAGCTGGGCCTGGAAAGTGTCGCAGGAGGGAGGAGGAGGAGCAGTGCCGCAGGCAGAGGGAACTCCCAGCAAAGGAACTGAGGCAGGGAAGGGTGTGAGGAGGAGGGAGGCTGGGGAGGAAGAATCAGGCCTGGGAATGCAGGCTGGGTAGTCTGGATTTGGATCTGATGGTAGTAGGGAGCCATGGAAGATGTTTGAGCAGTGGGGGTCAGCTGTACCAGGGGGATTCTATGCTGGTTGTGCACTGGGGAGTGGATGGGAAGAGGCAAGAAGCCCGGTCAAGAGGCAGCTAGAAGGTCCAGAGGTGGTTATATGTTTGAGGCCGGGTGAGAGTCGCTGGGAGGGAAAGACTCCAGGGACATGCAGGGCCCAAGGGTGACGAGGAAGGCTGCAGCTGGGTTGGGCACCCTAGGGAGAGTGGCAGGATGTACAGGGCTGCATGCAGTATGGAGGCATAAGTCCTCCCTGCCCTGGACACCTAGTAGGTACTCAGTGAGTATTCATCGAATGCATGGATGAGTGACTTCCCTGTCTCTAGGTCAGCCCAGTTGCAAACTCTCCTGTTTCCCACACCTCTCCTCTGTGCCCACCCTGCCCCATGGCCCTGGAGGGACTCCAGGTGGCCCAGTAGGAGCAGTGCTGGCCCACGAGTCCACAGGAGGGCGCCTCCATCTTTGCTGGGACACGGCATGGCTTCTCTCTCTCCGTCCCCCTCCCCCTCCCTGTCCTTATCGTTCCCTTCCGTCTCCATGGCGACTCACCACCTCAGCTTGCCTGCATCCCAGCCTCTGCCAGGGATTCTGAGCCGGGCTCCATCCCTCCCTCCTCGGAGCCCTGGTACCCGCAGCCCTGTCTCCTCCCCCTGGGGCGAGTCCAGCAGCAGCCTCCTCTTTCCTGGCCGTCACGTTTCTTTTCTAGCTCAGACGGGGACTCAGCTCCTCAGGGAGACTATCCTCCACCTCACCCTCCACCTGCCACAGCCTCTGGCCCTCCCGGGAGAAAAGCCATCCTTACCTCTGGCTGACGGTCTTGGGACCTCCCCCGCTGCGTCTGGACCCTCTCCCCATTCCAGCCTCCCATGCCGAGGCCTGCCTTGTCAGTCACTTCCTTTTGTCATCGGCTTGGCAAACGGGCAAGTCTTCAGCCCTAAGACTGTGGGGGGTGGGGGGGATGGGGGGTGGGTGGAATGTGAAAGGGCCCCTGAGATGGGGGATGGGCCGGAGGAGGCAGGTTGAGGGGCCCCTGGAAACTCAGGATGAAGAGAGAAGTCTGGATTCTGTTCTAAACAGCCTTAAAATATATTTGCATTTTTCCTCTCCAAGGAGAGAAAACGGAGCTTCATGGGAAACAGCAGCAACAGTTGGTAAGTGGCGGTGCTGGCCTGGCTGGGATGGGTGCAGTGGGCCTGGCCGGCCAGTAGCTTGCCTGGTCTGGGGACACGAAGCCCTGCGGGCCCTATCCCAGGGGAGAGAGCGGGAGGCTGGATCCGGCAGGCTGTGGAGGGAGGGACAGGAAGAAGCAGGTGGGGGCTGCAGGGAAGCAGATGCCAGCTCAGAGCATAGAGAGGAAGGAATCTTCTAAGATCCAGAGCCATCTGCCCAACTGCAGAATGGGCTGCCACCCTCTCCCTACTGTCCCCTAAGCGTGGGGTCGTAGAGGGTACCATCCCGGGGGGATCTGGCTGAAGCCAGCGCCTCCTGAAGGAGCCCTGCTGCAGAGGGCCAGGGGAGAGGATTTTGCTGAGCATTTGTACCAGGCAGTGTGGCTGATGGTTGTACAGTGCCCTCTTGAATGATCGCCCCCATGGAGATGGGCCTGCTCACCTCTCCACGGGAACAGTTAGGGAATTGGGGCCCAGAGAGGGGAAGCAACTCACCCATAGTTGCATGGCTGGGGTGCAGTAGAGCCAGCTCTACCCAGGCTTTCTCCCTCTCTCACTCCCTCTCACTACCTCTCTGCTGCCCCTACTCTGAGACCCCCAAATCCTGGGGTGCATGTCTGTGAGGAGTAAGCAGAGCTTGGCCTCTCTGGGTACATCTTCACCCGTCCACGAAGGCCCTGATGGAAACTGAGGTGGTACAAAGGGACCTCTACCCCCCAACCATCAGCCTGTCCCCCCAAACCTTGGCCAGTACCCCCTGCACCCAACAGACATCCTACTTGGGAATGCCCTGTCCTGCCCCTCAGGTCCCATGTGCCGTTCCCCAAGTTGGAGCTGGGCCTGGGGCCCCAGCCTGCGGTGCCCCGGGAGCTTCCCACCTGCTCCATCTGTCTGGAGAGGCTGCGGGAGCCCATCTCGCTGGACTGTGGCCACGACTTCTGCACGCGGTGCTTCAGCACACACCGCATCCCGGGCTGCGAGCCGCCCTGCTGCCCCGAGTGCCGGAAGATATGCAAGCAGAAGAAGGGCCTCCGGAGCCTGGGGGAGAAGATGAGGCTCCTGCCGCAGCGGCCGCTGCCCCCTGCGCTGCAGGTCTGGGAACCGGAGTTCACCATGGGGTGGGGCTGTGGAGATCTCTGGGTCAGATCCAAGAGGAGGGGGTGGCTGTGGCCCTATACTAGAACATCAGCACAGGACACGGAGCTCCTGGCTGGACACTCTCCAGACTTGGGGGCCAGTTCTGGAGGCTCAGGGACTCCTCTTTCTGCACCCCCAGGAGACCTGTGCTGTGAGGGCGGAGCCGCTGCTGCTGGTGCGCATCAATGCCTCTGGAGGCCTCATCCTTAGGATGGGAGCCATCAACCGCTGCCTGAAGCACCCCCTGGCCAGGGACACCCCGGTCTGCCTCCTCGCTGTCCTGGGGGAGCAGCACTCAGGGAAGTCCTTCCTCCTCAACCACTTGCTTCGGGGCTTGCCTGGCCTGGTGAGGGCGGGGCAGGGCAGGGGGTGGAGGGTGGGCCACTGGGTCTGGAACCCTGGTCTGTGGGGACAAGAAACGAACCAACAGATACCCTCTGTCCCCTGCAGGAGTCCGGTGAGGGGACCTGGCTGAGAGGAGGAGAGGGGTCTCTGCAGGGGTGCAGATGGGGTGCCAATGGCCTCACCAGGGGCATATGGATGTGGAGTCACCCCTTCCTGCTGGGGAAGGAGGGGAAGAAGGTGAGGGGGAAGGAACAGAGGAGGTCAGGGAGGGGCGGATCTAGAAGGAAGTCCTTGCTGGTGAGGCAAGAAGACTGGGGTGGGACGGAGGCAGGGTCGGGAAGAACGTGGTGGAGGAGGCAGTCCTGGCCCCTGGTTCGCCCCCCACCCTGCACAGGTGGCCGTGTTCCTGGTGGACACAGGGGACGCCATGAGCCTTGAGCTGAGCAGAGAAACAAGGATCAAGCTTTGCGCTCTCACCACGATGCTGAGCTCCTACCAGGTGAGGGGCACTGAGGCCCATGTCCCTGCCCCACCTCCCCTTCTCCGGTTCAGCTTCCTCAGGACCTGAGGCATTTTTTTTTTCCTTTGAGTTGGTGTCTCACTCCATCGCCCAGGCTGGAGTGCCGTGGCACACTCACAGCCACCCCAGCGTCCACCTACTGGGCTCCGACAATCCTTCCGTCTCAGCCTTCCAAGGAGCCAGAATGACAGGCGCGCACTACCACACCTGGCTAATTTTTTGATTTATTGTAGAGATGAGGGCTTGCCAAGTTGCCTGGGCTGGTCTCGAACCCATGGGCTCATGCAAGCCCTCACCTTGGCCTCCCAAAGTGCTGGGTTACAGGCTTGAGCCACCGTGCCCGGCTAACATGAGGCATTTTACGGGCCCTGGTGTCTGGGGTCCCTACAGGTTCTGAGGGTGCCCCTGGAAGGGGAAAGATGCTCCCAGTTGGTGAAGGGTAGGAATATGGGTTGAAGAGGTGGGCTGATGGTCCCTGGGGGCAGCCAAAGGCCTGTAGAGTCATGATGCCATCGGGCCCACTTCTGTCCTCGGGGTCAGCTCTGCAGGCAGCAAGCCCCCCAGGTTGGGCCTCTCCATGTTCTCCTACACTGCCTAGGAGCTTCCTCCTCACTGGGTCCTCCTCGTAGTATTTTACCTCTGCAGACCCTCTTGCATCTTGTTCTCCTTGGTTCCAGATCCTCAACACTTCCCAGGAGCTGAAGGATACAGACCTGGACTATCTGGAGGTAAGAACCGCTGATGGTGGAGGCATCACCCAGCCCTGCCTTGACCACAAGGCCAGGTGCAGACCAGAGGGAGCTAGGTGCCCTCCCACTCTGGCCTAGGACTTTATGACACTTACACTGAGTTGGTGGGCTTGAGGGTGGAGGGTAAAGCGTGGCAGACCCGGTTTGGGGAGAGGCAGGAGAATCCCGAGTTGGGAGGTGGGAAGCTTGGTTCCTACATGGGAGGGTGCAGCGAGGCGGAGGCTGGGGACGGGCCATCGTCCTCCAGGTGGCCCAGCCCTGATGCTCTCTGTGCTCCACCCCCAGCTGTTTGTCCATGTGGCTGAGGTGATGGGCAAGCATTACGGGATGGTGCCAATCCAGGTGAGACACTCATTTCTGGACTTGTCAGCCCCAGATGCCAACACCCCCAATTGCTGGTGTCAGGACCCCTTCTCTTCTAGCACCTGGATCTCTTAGTCCGTGACTCATCTCACCCCAACAAGGCAGGGCAGGGGCACATGGGGGACATCCTCCAGGTGAGTGGTGCAGAGGGAGGGGATTGAGGGGTGCTGGACAGGGCAGAAGGCGGGGAAGGCTGGATGGGGTCTTGGCCGGGAGCTGAGAGCAGGAGACTGGATCCCTTAGCTCAGAGCTCTCCTCTTCATCTTCAGAAGTTGTCGGGCAAATACCCCAAGGTCCAGGAGCTACTCCAAGGGAAACGAGCCCGCTGCTGCCTCCTGCCTGCTCCAGGGAGGCGGTGGGTGCACAAAGGCCAAGGAAGCCCTGGCAGTGAGTGTCCCCAGGAGCCAAGACCTCCTGTGTATGACTGCCCTGTTTCCCCTCCTCTGGGTGACTAGAACCCCCTCAAAGCATCCATCGCTCCCGGCCTCTGATACCCTTTCTCCTCCCAACACCCCCAGTCTTCTCAGCATGAGGAATCTCTTCCTCAGACACAGGTGATGATTTCCGCCATCCTCTTGGGGCCTACGTCTCGGACGTGCTGAGCGCGGCCCCCCAGCACGCTAAGAGCCGCTGCCAGGGGTACTGGAATGAGGGGCGCGCCGTGGCCAGGGGGGACAGACGCCTGCTCACGGGGCAGCAGCTAGCTCAGGAGATCAAGGTGTGAAAACTCCCTGGAGACCCAGACAACTCAGCTGGCCCTCTGCTCTCCCTGACCGCGGCGATGATATCTCCGCAGAACCTCTCAGGCTGGATGGGGAGGACAGGGCCTGGTTTCACCTCTCCGGATGAGGTACGGAGCCCCTGGGGGGGATCAGGGACTTGGGCGGGGGCTGTGCCGAGGCCTCTGGGGTGGGGGTCTGTGTGTCCCCGGAGTGCAGATGAGAAAGCAGGCAGCACCCCTGGCCGAGAGGAAGGAGGGAGGCAGCCTGGGTTTTCCCGTGGACAGATGGCTGCTCAACTGCACGACCTGAGGAAGGTGGAGGCCGCCAAGAGGGAGTTCGAGGAGTACGTGAGGCAGCAGGTGAGCCATTGGGCCTGCACAGGAGGCAGGTGTGTGCCAGGCAGGGACCCACACCAGGGAGAGGACTCCCGAGGCTTCTGGTCAGGGCACCGTCCTTTCTACTCCCATCCTAGGACATAGCCACCAAGCGCATATTCTCTGCACTGCGGGTCCTGCCTGACACCATGCGGAACCTCCTCTCCACCCAGAAAGACACGATCCTGGCCCGCCATGGCGTGGCCTTGCTGTGCAAGGGGAGGGAGCAGACCTTGGAGGTGCTGGAGGCCGAGCTGCAGGCCACGGCCAAGGCCTTCATGGACTCTTACACGATGCGCTTCTGTGGCCACCTCGCTGCCGTGGGGGGCGCTGTGGGGGCTGGGCTCATGGGCCTGGCCGGGGGTGTGGTGGGTGCCGGCATGGCGGCTGCAGCACTGGCTGCAGAGGCAGGGATGGTGGCGGCTGGAGCTGCAGTGGGGGCCACAGGGGCTGCTGTGGTTGGGGGTGGTGTGGGGGCTGGTTTGGCGGCCACCGTGGGCTGCATGGAGAAGGAAGAGGATGACAGGGTGCAGGAAGGAGACCGAGAGCCCCTTCTCCAGGAAGAGTAATAGCCCAGGAGGCATAAAGGACAGAAGAGATGTGAAGTGGGGGGGAGGAAGCGGGGGAGGCCAGGAGGGATGACACCAGGGATTCTGAGGGGCCTATGTGTACCATTGCCCCGGTCGAATGTTCAGTGTCTGAGCGGCCAGCTGAATTGGGGATTCAGAATGGCTCCAGGAAACTGAGGAGGGGGCAGTGGGTGGAGCATCTGGCCTGTTTCTGGCTACAGATGATTGCTGATCTCCCAGTGTCCCAGAAAGGTTGAATCCTAGGGTCTCTCAGCACGAGTGAGGCTCCCCCCTCTTCACCTGGCTCATTTCCCCACGACCCTGGAGTGCAGGAAGGCTGAGCAGGTACATTCTGGAAGTCTACCCCCGGGTGGTCGAGAGACCTGTCCTTTCAAAGCTGGGAGAAGCCCCAGGAAGGTTGGCCTTGACGTTCAGGAGCAGAGAACACTGATGAGGGGCTAGTGAAGGCAGGGAAGGAGGGAGCACCGGGCAGAGCCAAAGAGTCAGGGCATGACAGACAGTGGCCCAAACCCCCAGGCGGAGAAACTTGCTCCTGAGACTCTCTCCAAAGCTGCTCCAGCAGAACCAAAGGGTTCCCCATTCTGGAACCACAGCCGCAGGAAGCCTGGCTGTGCATCCTGAAACACCCCGTACCGGGCCTCCCTGCAGCCCTCCCTTGGGCTCTTGCCCTTTGTCAAGCCTGCTCAGATGCAGGAGTGCCCATGTCCTCTGTGGAATGCCCAAATGCCAAAGAATGACACCTTTACTTGCATTTTGAGCTAAACCAGACAGCTGTTATTCTCAATTCTATCAAAATCTTGCAAGGAAAGCAAAGTGAACAAATTCTCTCCTTAAACACGTCCTTTCTCCCCTGGGCTTGTGAGCAGACCACTCTGTTCCATTTCAGAAGACCTTGATGGGGCTCCCCAAGCACCAGGCCCCACAGGGCACTCGGGGTGAGTCGTCTCTCTCTGGGGGATACAAGGTTCTACTAGGAAGATTTTTAGGCTCCTAAACTGACATCTAGGCTAGGAAATTTCTAGGATATGGAGTGGGCACCTTATCCTTTATTTTATGAAAAATAAAATGTGTGTATGTGAATGTCAGCTTTCTGGTACCTTATTGAAACAGAGTTCAGCCCCCAGAGGACTTTGGCATGGGAGGAAGTGAACTGGGATGTGCAGGTGGGAGGAGGGAGACTGGAATTCAAGAGAGATGTGAGGAGTTGAGTGTCAGGGGTCCCCACTCGGTGGTAGAAGGAGAGCTCAGGCCAAGGCCAAGTGCATGACCACCTTCGTAGTCTTATCCGCTGGGACTAGGGGTCCTGTTTTTTTGGTCTCTCCTCTGAGAAGCAGCCTCCGATGACCCTGCCAGTGAACAGTAAGCTAGCATCGGTTCCAGCAAGATGACAGAATGGAGGCATAAGCGGGGAGACCTTGGTAAAGCTGTGGAGGAAGGAGGAGCTTGGGACCCATCCTGCAGGACTCAGCCAGCCGGGAGTTTATCCCACTGATTCTCCTCCCAGCCCCCGTTTCTCATCTCAGAATTACAACACAGTCAATGCAGCCAAACCCTGCATTTTAAAGATGCAAACCCAGAGAGGGGGAGTCTCAGATAAGACTGCACAGCTGCCACCGGCAGAAGCAGGGGAACTCCAAAGTCCTGGCTCTCAAGCTGGTGCTTTTCCACAGACGCTGAAGACATTTTGTTAAAGTCACCTGTGCTGAAATTGAGACGCTTCATTACAGACCCTTGTTTTGGTTGACCAGGTCCAGGAAACAGTAGTGGGTGGGAGGGCAGAGGCAGGAGGACAGGGTCTGGGACAGATGGCTCACCAGTAGAAGTTACTGTTAATAGGCTGGGGACAAAATACATAATGTGGAGACATCTCAAGGCCAGGGCTTGGGTGCGTAGGGTAAGGACAGATGAGGTGACTCTCTCTTTTGGGGACTGGGCCAAGGGTGAGGCCAAGGGTCCTGACTTTGTGTAGTGTTTGTGGAGAAAGGCTTCCTGGAAGCATCTCCTCTAGTCCTTCCGTTGTCATCTGGTGGACACATGAGCTGTGAAACCTCCCAGACTTTGGGGCTGGCAGGCTCAGGACCTCGGGGCCTCAGAGGATTCACAGAGGGAGGGTGTTGTGTGGCTGGAATCCCATCCAGCGGCGCTGGAAGGAACACCAGCCGTCTGCCTCTCTCTGCTTTTTGCACAGATGGGGAGAGGTTGGCCCTGAGGGGAAGTCTCTGCAGAGACAAGATGAGTAATATTAAGTGGTATTTGTCTTGTGCCTTATAGCTTTCAAAGCATTTCCTCAAACATCATCTCCTTTAAGCCTTGAAACCACCTCATACAGTACATAGAATACACATTTTTACAGAGATCACAGAAGCAGAGAGAAATGACATGTCCCTCTTAAAACAACTAGTCAGAGGTAAGCCTGGACCTGACCCCAAGATTTCTGATGCCAAATCCTTGGCTCAGTGGAGCCCTCAGCCCCACAGGTCTCTCCAGACTGTAAGACTCAGCCTCTGGATCCCAAACCCAATTAAGTGGCTTCGTGGGCTTCCAATATCAATTCTATAGTTCATAAAAGCACAGGTGACTCTATGACCGAGGTAAACAGTGTGCTGAAGTCTGACTGGTTTCCCTTGTACAACCTATTATAGGTGTCCCCAAGATTCATATGTGGCAAGATTCAGTGACGTACCCTATGGTTCCTATCTCGGAGGCCTCCCTCATGTTGCAGATGGCAGGCACCACAAGACAAAACGAACCTGTATCCTTAATACAGGGGCCCTGACTGGCCTGTGTGAAGCCATGCTGCCAACAAGAGATAAACTCTTACTGCATCCAGTGAATGAGCCATCTAGTGTGGTTTGTTACGACACTGTTACCTACTCTACCCTAACACACACCGAAATGAGTTCCTTGGTATGGGGTCATGCTGTAACAGACACGAAGAATCACTAGTTGGGTGTGGGCAGTAAGGAAAGGCACTGCCCGACCCGTTTTATGTCATGACAAAACATTTGGTAAAACTCTCGCCTACAATAACTTGGAAGGCAGAACTTGTGCTGTTTAGGAAAAACTTAAATAAAATCTCCTGCCAACCCAGGATATTCTCTCTTCTTTTCCATAAATGTGAAAAGAAAGAAAATACTAGCTCTATTATTGAATTAGCATTAAAGCATATGGGGACGTATCACATATACAATTGCAGAGACAGTAAGAAATCCCACCCTATGTAGGTAGCCAAGCAGAAACAACCCGTTACACACGTGCTCACACATATGAGGACTTGAACGCAGGTACAAGAACTCCATAGCATCGTTTCATAGTTCACTCTAAATTCACCTGATAATTGGGGCGGCCATCTGTGGTAGTTAATTGTCTTTTTCTGTAGGGAAAACAAAACATCTGAATCTCTATGACAAGCAGGTGGTTAAGGCACCTAGGCTAAACTTCCTTGGTGACAGGGACATGGGGCACTGTCTTCCTTGATGTTGCACATGAAAGGGGGGCTCCCAAGCTTCTCAGAAAGCTTGGGTTTTAATTCTAGTAAGAAGTTTATTTAGCCTTTACTTGCATGAGGATCAGAAAGAACAAAGGAAGGATTTACAAATACAAATTTTCTCAAGGAAATGTCCTAAGCAAAACGGGGGAGGAAGATCTCTTTCCCTCTTGGAAACAGAAAATTCAATCTTACTTTTATTTCTCCTTACAGATTGCCCCCTTTGTTATTATTTCATAGTAACACTGTACTTTGCTAATTATCTCCATTGCTGTTTTTAACCTTTCTCTGGGCAGTTTGCAGCTATTTAAATATTCAGCGAGCCTGTAGTCAAATATAAAGCAAAGGTATCGTGGTCCATTCAGGCTGTTATAGCAAAATCCCAAAGACTAGGTGGCTGATAAACCACAGAAATTTGTTTCTCACAGTTCTGGAGGCTAGAAGTTCAAGATCAAGGTCTCCGTGGATTTGATGTCTGGTGAGAGCCTACTACTTGCTAGACCATCATCACCTCACATGGTGGAAGGAGTGACGGAATCTCTCTTCTATAGGAGTATAATCCCATTCATGAGGTCTCCGTCCTCATGACCCAATCACCTCCTAAAGACCCTACCTCCTAATACCATCAGCTTGGGGTTAGGATTTCAACATAGGAATTTTGGGTGGACACAAACATTTTAGTCCATTGCAAAAACAATGATCAGGATCACAAAGGGATGGATTTTTTAAAAAATCAGTACTATAGCCGGGCTCGGTGGCTCAGCCTGTAATCCCGCGCCTTTGGGAGGCTGAGGTGAGTGGATTGCCTGAGCCCGCAGGTTTGAGACCCGCCTGGGCAACTTGGCGAGACCTCACCTCTACAATAAATCAAAAAATCAGCCGGGCGTGGTAGCGCATGCCTGTAATTCCGGCTACGGGGAAGGCTGAGGTGGAAGGATCGCCGGAGACCAGCAGGTCGAGGCTGCGGTGGCCGGGAGCGGCCACTGCACTCCAGTCTGGGCGACAGTAAGACTCCAACTCAAAAAAAAAAAAAGAAAAGAAAAATCAGTACTATATGCAACTTGGGGAAAAACCGCTAAGCATGTCATAACCAGTGGTGAATGGTTAGAGCAAATTATTGATTAGCAATATGCAAAAATTCTTCTTCAGTAGATATGAATGTGGCAAACTGCTGTGCTGTCTTCATCGCTTACACATTCACAATTTTTTTATTTAAAGCAGGATTTATTAAGAGGACAGAAAAACTCCCACAGTGAGAGAGGACCTGAGGGGGTGGCCCCATATGATTAATTATTTGAATATAGTCTTGTAGTTGCATACAAAGTCTTACCCAAATCTAAGCCTCAGGAATTGCATAACTGCAGTGCCTGACAATCTAAAATTGGGTTTTTTTTTTCTCGTAAGGTCTAATAGATTTCTCCCGAATTTTCATCTCACATAATTGAACTCACACTTACTTAATAATTTAGGCCTTTTTTAAATTGTTCTATCACCCCAAATAATATTTCCCAGATGTAAGACATAAAGATACCCATGACCATTCTCTAGAATCAAAGCCTTCTTAAGCGGTATCTTTGGAAGGATACAGGTTCAACTTCCAGTGTTTAATGTCCATAGCTCTGTGTTGTCTTTTTTTTTTGAGTTGGTGTCTCACTCTGTCGCCCAGACTGGAGTGCAGTGGCCGCTCCCGGCCACCGCAGCCTTGACCTGCTGGGCTCTGGCGATCCTTCCGCCTCAGCCTTCCAAGTAGCTAGAACTATATTTGCATGCTACCACACCCGGCTAATTTTTAAAATTTATTGTAGATATGCGGTCTCACCAAGTTGCCCAGGTGGGTCTCGAACCGGCAGGCTCAGGCAAGCCACTCACCTCAGCCTCCCAAGGCACGGGATTACAGGCTAAGCCACTGAACCCAGCTGTGTTGTCTTTTTTTTTTTTTTTTTTGAGTTGGAGTCTTACTCTGCTGCCCAGGCTAGAGTGCAGTGGTATGCTCATGGCCACTGCAGCCTCAACCTTCTGGGCTCAGGCAATTGTCTGCCTCAGCCTTCCAAGTAGAAGGAACTACAGGCACGTGCCATCACGTCTGGTTAATTTTTTGATTTATTGCAGAGATGAGGTCTCACCAAGTTGCCCAGTCTTGTCTCGAACCTGTGGGCTCAGGCAATCCTCTTACTTCGGCTCCCAAAGTGCTGGGATTATAGGTGTGAGCCACTGTGCTGGTCTGTGTTAAGTCTTAAGGACAAACCTACCCATAGGACAATTTTTGCATCAGCCCAAATCAGTAGTTACATTGTTATAGCAGTGTGTCTTGCTGAACTAGTGATGAAATCTCACAGCTTTTTTGTAGCTGAGTGCCTTTTTTTTTTTTTTTGCTGAGCGCCTCTGAGATCTTTGTGGTAAGTTTTTATTCAAGTATTAAATTATTTCCAACAGTCCAGTTCTGAATTTTCAACCATTTCCATTGCAATTATATTCTGTTTTTGTAATTGTCCCAAAGCACTAAGTTTATCAAAGTATCAGTATCAACATGCATTAGTTATAACTACCTCCAAGCATTGTATTTAATAAAAATCTTTTTTTGTCCCTGTATGGCCTCAA